AACGTTTGAATGGCGGTATTTCCAGCCGAATAGGGGCTTGATTTTTAGTGATTTACCATATATCTTTCCATCTATTGAAAGAAAACTTTCTCATTGACCAGCATTAAGAAAATTTATATGTCACACTCAGTGAGTGCGAGTGTGAGTGAGCTTTTTGAATACAGGCGTAAGTCTCTAAAACGGAACAATGAATCGAATAAGTTATATAAACTGAAATATGCATAAATATGGTTATATCAATCAACTCAGGAAAATTATTCATAGGACAGGTTTCTTTTGTCTACGAGTTCTCGTCCAGAACTAAACACTCGTGAATAACTTTCTTGAATGCTGCATTTATATGTCAGTGACATACGTCATAACTCATAAGGAATTTTTTAAAGAAATTGTATTAAAACGTGGAAAGAAAAGATGGATTAATGATTTCGTTTCGACTGGTTTGATTTTTACGCCATTTTGCTATAGAAACAATAGCAATGTCAAAACGATTTTTTTATTCCTAAAAAGTTCAACATTGGCCTGAGGTAGAAAAATGAAGATCCGAAAAAATAATCACGACCTGGGCTGTCGCAGATAGGGGGGGGGGGGGTGCCGACCTAAATTTTGCGAATTGAACCGAATATTTGGCGATATGTACCAGGGGCCGCCGGCTCTCTCAGGCATATTAAACGCCGCAGAAATTGGTGTTTAATCCCAAAATCGTATCACCGGTTCACAATTGTGCATTTCTGTATGGTTGCCAAAGAGATTACTGTCGAATAAGTTAATACAAGCTCGATTTCTTCTGAATACCCATTCTACAATATTTTAACAGCTAATCATGCACATCGACAGCTGTGAAATAGCCATTTTAAAGTGTCAGGCTTCATATCTTCTGTGCAAGAGATATTTTGTTAAGTATATATAAATCTTTTTGCTCACCAAATTTGAAGTCTAAGTGTTAAGAATTGCAGGAAAGTCTATACAAATTTCCGCGGTGTCGACATTATTAGCACAGAGTAGAAAAATTGATGACATAGATACAGAGGTGTAACTAGTGTACCTACTTTTTTTGAGCGCGGGCTTGGGTGGGTCAGTAAAAACACTAACTAAACGCTTGCCAAGGCACTTGCTGAGCATGCGCAGTTGATAATTTTTTGCCTAGCGCGTGAAAAAATGTGGGTACATAAAAACGCCACTTTTAATTACTGAGCGCAAGCTAGTTACAGGTCTGTATCTATTATCTGCTCTGTGATATTAGGGAGCTTTAGCAGCGACTACGAGTAGGAGATTCGTAATTCTCGCATGTTGTTTGCATAAACCATCAGCCAAAACTCGTAGTCGTCGAGCTTTTGAGTACGAGTTTGTTGGTCGTACTGATAAAGTTGCATGAACTTATCACTTTAATATCATAAAACACGACCTTTACGCACATAATATCATCACTCGGTAATCACAATAATAATATAACTGGAAATGATTCTCGACTGTGATTGGTTGGTTTCAGTGCAATTAATCTGAAACAGCAGTGCAAAAATCTGTAACAGCAGTGCAAAATCTGTAACAACAGTGCAAAAATCTGTAACAAACGTATCTGATTGGTTGAAAATAAAGAAAATAGCCAATCAAATTTCCCGAAAAATTCCCGCGAAAATCCATTCAAAGATTGCAAATGCAAAGATTTCGAAACATTGAGGCAAGTACAATACAGGAGTTACAAAATAATGCAAAAAATAAAAACGCAACAAGTCGCACCAATTTTTGGCTAAGCGTTTTTAAGACCTGGGCAAAACAGAGGATTTTTGGAGGAAATTGAGTTGTACGATGTTGTCATATTTTGTCTCGATCATTTCCAGTTATATCATTATCACGTAATAGTATGGTTTCTCGTGCAATTATATTATACCCAAATTGCACTCGAAACCATACTATTACCTATAGTCATAAAACACGACCTTTACGCACATAACATCATTGGAAGTGAACTTAACAAATTTTGTTATTAGCGGAATTCCACTTATCTTTTTCTTTTTTGTCTTTTTGTTATTTCGTTTTTAACCCAGTACTTAATTGCCTTCCAATCCCGGTTTTTCAACACCCCCTTCGCCTTCACAATGCATTCCTCGCACTCTCTCTTATTTGGCACCCTTCCCTCCCGAACCAAATGTGCCAACTCGCCCAAAACGCATCTTCTCTCCTCATTCGTCCATGATTTATGAACTATTTTCCCTGAAGCAAAAATGGAGATTTGTTTAAAAACGGTGGAATTACGCATGCTGTGCATAATAATTTTTATGTACATGCAGCGTGTACGAAAAAGAAAAGGATTTAGGATAGTTAGGATTTGAATGACTCAGCATTCCGTTGAATCCACTGATGACCAAACCCAATGGAAATGAATACACTTTGTTTTCTTAGCTTAAGAGTTATACCCATATTATTATTCTGAATAAAAAGAGTTATATGAATAGCAGTTACCATAGTTATTAACACTAGACGTCGCCAAAAACGGAAAATAGCCGAATTTAAATATAGAACTTCTACATTCTATCCCACAAAAACTCTCGCTATTTTCGTAGGCTGCTTAGTTAAGTATTAGTTAAATCCCAAGACAAATGTGTTTAAACTCAGCCATGTGAATTTCAAGTTAGCTTATTACTTTTTTAGTTATATATCTCGTACGAAAAGGAGGGAATTAAATTCTCCGTTCGCTAGGAAAAACGAAAAAAGAGGTTTTGCATATATTTATGACAAAATATAAAGAACAACACAATAGAACAATAAAACAATAAAATAAACCAATCGATCATTTGTGTTTACCCAGAGCAAACCCAAATAAATTTTTTCGTTCAATTCTCGTAGGGATAAATCTTAATTGTCTTTCCCTAATTGTGTTCCTCTGTGCATAGCATTTAATTTTTAAATTTGAGGAAACATAAGCACTTCCCCGGACTATTAACTTCTTATGATCGAGCGGAAGGATTTTACAGAGAGATATTATACCTCAAATTCTTTTTATCCAATCGATCAGAAAACAGTATTTGTAGCACATGACCAGCCAATTTTTTGCGGTGTCCCAACGTTATTTTCTAAACTGGGGTGTCACAGTGGGGTGTGGTGTTAAATTTATCTCATGTCATGTCTCGCGTGGACTACTTGAATCTGCTCGAAACATTTAAAAAATGGCAGGAGCTGACACGGGGGAGCCGACATGGCGGGAGCCGACACGGGCGGCGACGAAATTTTCGTATTTTGATGAATAGACTTGTAAAAGACACTCAAAAAAATCCTGTGTAATATATCCTTCATAGACCCTCCAGGGGTTCGGCGAAATAGCTTTCTTAGTGATGATATTTGCCTCGAACTTCACCCCTAGCTTCGGGCAATATTTCTCCGAATCGCTCTCATTCCGAGGCTATTATAGTAATGCTAATAATAATAATACGGACACGCCCAGATGGGAATTGACATTAATCTAAAACAAGACGCCAGATTTGGCGTTAACTCCGGCCACAGTGCTCCGGCGTGCCGCGCATGTGTCATCTTCAATATAAAACTTCTGAACGTAAACACTAAACAGTTCATGTAGAAGCCTTGCGAACCTAAATGTTGTTCGGTATTCAGACAGCGCACCGTGCAGTTCAAAGTATAGAAGCGTTGAGAAACTAACGTTGTTCGACATTCAGAAGTATATCGCACTTTAGAAATTCAAAAATGTAAATAAACCGCATGATATGTCTACGTACGGACATGACTTCACTTTGTCTTAGACTTTGGAATTTGCGTTTATATTAAAAGCTTTTGCTCATATGATAACCTTAGAGCTTATATTAGCGTGCAATATGTGTAAATCAGAGTAATGTTTTCGCGAATTAATAAATATAAATGGTTCGTATTGTGTTTGATCGTATTCTTCAATCGTGTGCGACCTGTCAAAGTGCGACACACGACCACATTTTTAAACGCTAAAATAGCAGCGATATTATTAAAATATACAGGTATTAAATATTTTTTACCCCGATTTAACCTAAACATAATCGAACAGCATCGAAACAATGGTTTAGTCATTCCTCGTGGAAGATTGCCGTAACACGCGAGCGAAATCGAATCGCGGCATCGTCAAAGATTTTCTTACTACTTACTTACTTAATTTCAGTGCACCACGACTCTTGCGAGACAAAACTTCAACCTAGTTAAATACGGTTACATACGGTGTAAAACGGTACGACCTTTCGCTTTTCAAACACTAATATATTTCGCGCCAAAACACACTTGCGACGATGAAAAATAATAAAAAAACGAGATAATCTATTTATTGCGCCTCGCGCCTTTTTGTCGCGCCTTTTTTCGCGCCTCGCGCCTTTTGTCGCGCCTTTTTTTTCGCGCCTTGGAATAACGATGAATCTTATGCCAGAATTTTCCCCTGATGCGAAAATTGGCACAAGCATAGCCACAAAATGAAGCAATTGGCAATCGGACGTTGAGATGTATTTAACGGCAAGTGGCATTACGGATCCAACTAGAAAAAGGGCAGTGTTACTATACCAAGCCGGACCTAGAGTGCGAGAGATTTTTAAACAAATCCCCGAGACTGGAAAAGACGCAGATTACGATGTTGCAAAGCAAAAATTGAAGACATATTTCGATCCTCAAAAGAACCGAAGATACGAAGTATACCAATTCAGACAAGCAACACAAGGGAATAATGAAACGTTAGACCAATACCATACAAGGCTAAGAACAATGTCAGAAACATGTGAATTCGCAGACGTTGATTTTGAAATAGAGGAACATCCGGACACTTTTTCGACTACATAGTGGTTAGCCGCGCATGCGCAGGCTACCCACAAAAACTAAAACTCAAATGCCGAGTCAATTCTTTAATTCGTAATTGCAGTCAGCGACATTTGCTCTAACAAATTATGCAGTGAGTATATAAATTATAGTGACGAAACATGCTAAAAGGTTTCACTTTTCTGCGAATGTCGAAAATGACGATACTATATAATTTTATATAAGAGGACACACTCAAGAATGATGCAGTTTATGTTTGCGGCTTTGGTCTTCTTTGCTCATGCAATGAGCATCAACGCTGGAACAAACTTTTTTTCGACGTGGAAACTTGATTGCCCTTCAGGTACGTCGTCAATTGTATACGTCATTATTTTGAATATTATTAGACTCGACTTGCAGCTATTTCTTGTCAGCCAGTCCTTGAGACGATGTGAAGATTAAGATAAGGGTAAAGATAAAGATGAAGAGTCGCACTCGCGAACTGAATTTAATTTGTTCATAACTATAGGTCAATCTATCAGGCATATAAGCAGTGTTCATAGCAACTATCATGAGGATCGTTCATGGACATTCACCTGCAGATCTGACCCAGTCACCAAGAGTACATGTTCTTGGTCTGGATGGGTAAATTTGTTTGGCGAAATGATCCTTTATCAATGCAAAGATGGAGTTATTGCGGGTAACAGTTGAATATAACTGCCTACGCGATATAAATACCTCTAAAATGACCTAAAAGGTCATTGTGCCTTGTTTGCCTAACAATCTGAACAGGGCGCAACCTCGTTCCCAGGGCGTTTTACTTTGATCCTGGGATCCCTCCCCCACACTACGCCCATGTATAACAATTAAGTAACCTTCTTTTTCCAGTTTGCAATTTTTTTCTAATCTGATCATGCTTTAAGGCCTGCAGTTTACATGGAGCGAGTTATCCCGGGCAGGCAAGGTGAAAAGTGCATCACATCAAAGGCTTAACCTTATTAGTCTTTCATTACATGCAGTTTTCACCTCGCCTAGCCAGGATAACTCACTCCATGTATACAGTCCCTTAGACACATTTAATTACGGAAATGACATAATGGCCTCGTTGCGGTATGGCAAAGGTCAATTAATTGGGCAGAGACAGAGATTATAATCAACTAAATCACATTTTTCGTTATTATCAGCAGCCCTCTAGAGCCCGCTTGCACAAGATCGCGAGGTGTTAAGTAAAGTTTGTCCTTTTTTCAGGTGTGCAATCGTACCATAACAAATATCATAAAGACAGAAGATATAGCTTCAAATGCTGTAAAGCCAAAAGTTACACCCGTATTTGTACTTGGACTGGCTTTGTCAACAACTGGGATGGTTATGTGACCTATGGCGTGCGTCATAATTATTATCTTGTTGGCCTGTTCAGTTATCACAGCAAAGGCCATGGGTAAGTCTATTAAACATTCATTTGTCTTAGGATTTTAGATTTCTGCGTCAGATATTTCGACTTCATTTGAATTCTGTTTTGACAATGACTTTGAAATAAAGTAGGAATATATCAACGTAAATTCTTGTCTTGTTGTCAATCCCTCATATCTTGAGTGGCTTGGAAGATGCTTTTCTTCGAAGTGTGCTTTTTCTTCCATTTTCTCGTCTTTTTTATCAGGTCTACTGAAAACGAAGTGAACCAAACGAACGCCATTTTTGAAACAAAATCTCTCTGCTGCAATGTGCACTTGAAATTTTCACGAGACTTCAAAAAAACACTTAAAATATACACAGTTTTCTCGTCCACCCGACACGCAATTGCAGTCAAAGCCGCAGAAATTTTTGAAATATAATCGTTGAAAAACCTAATTTTCGGCTGCAATATTATTTCTGTGGGACTGTTTATTGCGGTAAAAATTGACTCGACCATGTGATAAAAGCTAAGCATTCGGTTTAATGTTAAGGTCCCGTTGTTACAATTTCAATTTTAAGGAGATAGAGTATGCTCAGGATTCGCGGTCTGTATATAAGCGCTGTTGAAATTTGATTTCTCTAGCTTCTCCCTATATCGGAACCATTTGCTAGAAAATTTTGATGAAAGACACATGACCACAAACTAAGCCGGACCGTCATATTTTATCAAATGACGTGCCCTCTTTAAGCCATTGATATATTCAGCCAGGTATTTAACCTGCAAATATTCAACTAAAGACTTTTGAACACAAGCCTGCGCTCATGCAGGCATTAAATGTGATTTGTAATAGAAAAGTGACCGCACCTGTTCTCCAGGGGCCGGTTGTGTAAAACTATTTAACTACACTTTCAATTGCAGAGTTACATCCTAGTTAACTGGGATATACACAACTCTGATTGGCCAATTCTGTCCTTAACTACAGTTAATAGTTAACTATTGTCTTTTACACAACTGGCCCCAAAACGTTATGGAATTAATATGGCTCATGTTACATCATTTTTTCTTGTTTTTTCTTATATAGTGACAGAAGATGGAGATTCCTTACATGTTAACAATGTGGTTAAAGGACAATGTTGGATATTTCCCATGCTTGATTTCATTTGATCATATTTGGTGTTTTTGTAAGAATAATGATAAGAATAATTACATGCAACAAAAAAACGATCACCCATGTTTTTCTTCTTCTTATAGCATTAATTGTCATCTATATTGAGTTAAAAAAATACTATGGCATGAGCTTCGTTCTTGTATAATCCTCGCTTCGGCTAAAATATACAGAGTTTCCTATGCGGGATTTAATGCTTAATGTCAATATTCCTCTATATGTCGAAAAACATATACTTATTGACTGAACAACCAGGCCATACTGACGTCTATAAGTCATTGGATGTCGTTGATATAGTTGTTGCATGCTAGTAATACAACCTTCACTAAACCATCTAATGATCATATGTTGCTATACAAATAGTTCTTTGATATTATTTTACAATTTGGGCCAAATATAAAATGGCATTTCATGTAAGCGAAGATCAGTGAAACATTCAAAAAATCGGGATGTAAAATTTCCTACATATAATATATATTGAGCCTTCAAGTGATATTATTTTCTTGATTGAAAAACAGGCATTTGGAAACCTCTCTATCTATTATACACCATTTTGTATAGTCTGAGAAAGACGTAACTTTAAAAATATTTTGTCTAGCGAAACTCAGGTATAATTTAGCGATAAAAAAAGATGTTTGAAACGAACGAAGATCAATTTGGCTTTCAACCTTCGCTTCTTTAGAGCAGAGGTTTAGTGCAGGCTTCCTCAAATAAGTCAGAAAGAATAAAAGGAGTGGCAGAGGAGAGGGGTGTCGCAACGAATTTTTTTCTGGAACAAGCGAAGGCACCCCAAACAATCAAAAGCATCCTATACCAAAGTCATCATGGGCGTTGGAAGCATCCAGAGATTGCGGGGGGGGGGGGTTCACCAACTTCCATAGGCACTTTTGGTTAATAAAAAGGGCTAAAATATGTATAGGGACGGTTTCATTGCCAAAGCTGGAAGGACACTACCACTATGGTTTATATTTATGCTCTAGCTACGAAACCATTTGGGCACGTGTATAAGTGGGCATACGTAGGAAACAAAAACGACAGCTTTGATTTTAAAATTGTATTTAAAAGTTTTTTGGGGGCTCTTAATTGGTGTAATGGTGCATATTTGCCTGTTCTTATAAGTCTAATGAAGACATTTATATCATACAGCTATGAAATGCGTTAAATAATAAAATGACAGGACTCAGAAACATATATTTTAACATCACTAATGTTTTAATATAGCTGTAACTCAATTCAAATCTTTATCCAATTTAAGACAATATGTTATGCTTTTCAAGCGATTCTATTATCTTTTACAAGTTAATAGCCATATAGATAAGCCCTATATTTATACATTAAATTTTCCAAAAAAATTATTTTTTTTGGTGGTTGAACCACCATTAGTCAAATTGCTTTAGCTTGATTTTAAATTCAAGGTACCTGAATAACCGGTTATTGATTTTAAGTTTCTTAAGAATATTTTTAATATGAAATATGCCAATGTGGTTGTAATTTATAGCTGCATGTATAGCAATTTATTTTCTCCCACCCTGGATAAATCAACCACTGTGAACAACGATGGTATTGGCTTATAAAAATAATATACCAATGGATTCAGTTTAAAGACATTGCTAATACATCAAAATATGAGCTGATATTAATTATCTGAACTAACCTGAGTACGCCATACTCCAATCATAGCTAAAGACCTGGGGCCGGGTGTATCAAGGCCGTTTAGCTTTAACGGCGGATAAGTCAAAATTAAATAACACTCTTACATCTCTCTTGAATGAGTCAACTTGAATTTTATGCACTGAATATCTAGTTGTAAACAGCATCTTTGTATTAAGGTTAAAAACATTTACTTTGCTTTTTGAATAAAACGACAGACTTGCTTTCTATTTTGAACTTAACCATTGTTTAAAGTGCCTATATCACTCGTGGGATCTTTATGCATTTGAAAAGAATGTAAAAAGTTAGTTAATATATTAAAAACGTTTTTTGATTTAGTGCAATAGTTTCGAAGATACAAGCCTCTAAACTACCTGCGGTTCCTGAGTCCCAACCTCCTAGGTTTAAACACGGCTATTCAATTTGAAACTGCCTATTGTTTACAGGAGCCTGGGACTCAGGAACTGCAGGTAGTTTAAAGGCTAGTATCTTCAAAATTATTGCACTAAATCAAAAAACTTTTTTAATATATTAACTAACTTTTTACATTCTTTTCAAATGAGTAAAGATTCCATGAGTGATATAGGCACTTTAAGCTAAACGGGCTTGATTCAACCGGTCCCAGTTACATTGCTAATACATCAAAATATGAGCTGATATTAATTATCTGAACTAACCTATATATGTACGCCATAATCCAATCATACTAGCTAACATATATAGGCATTGAAATAAACTTGCATAATTTTTCATATTGCAACAAGAGTGCCATCCTATTGCCTATCAAGGGAATTTATTACTTAACTTATTGAATTTTCACTCAAAGACATAGAGATCCGTGGAAAATATCAATTCTGTAAAGTTATTTGGAACTAATTTTACTGCCATAGCCCCGAGTTTCGGATGCCTCCAAAACAGATCCACTAAATATATGGCAGATTACCAGAGCTTTTTTATTTCGCAATGTTAATTTATACGGCATTATTTTTACGAGGTGCTTTTTAATCCTCAAAGATCATGTTACCAAAAAAAAATTCTCATGAAATCATTAAGTCGTGAATTAATATTATTAAACTGAGCGTC